CTCTGAGCCCCGCCGGCCTCTCCTTACCCCGCTCCCCTCCCGCCCCATCTCCCGGGTCCTTTTTCCCCACCACTTCACGTCAAAGGAATAGAAGAGGTCTGCCCTTGTGCTGATCGCGTCTCTATTCCCTTCATGAGTAATCAATACAGTTGTTCTACAGACGTTATGTCAGCATTGACGTGACGTTTTTCGTCCACTGTGCTTTTTGATGCCTTCTTTCCCCAAAGAAGAAAAAAATCAAGTCATTTCATAGAGCAGAACTCTTCTATTCACTTCTCTGTGGGCACTGTTAAGTACACCAGTGTAGATTCCCATCGCTTGAAGTTTTCCATTGTTTGTTCTGTATCTATTGTCTGTTTTATTTTTTGTCCCCTAAATACATATAATACTGGAAGTCGCCTCTGAGGGAGAGGAGTTAGTAGATTCTAGTGTAAATCCTCATTACAGAAGCTTCAAGAAGCCATTTGTTCATTGTCAGTTTATGCAGCTTTTTCCAAGTTTCAAGCTGGTCAGTCTGTGATGGGCTGCTTGGCATCTCAGCTCTGCTGAGGCTTGTATGCTTTCTGTTCAAATGTATCACTTATTTGTAATAGTCACCAGTAAATATTTGCTGGCAGTCACATTATTCTAAATTGCTTTACATCATGCAATTTTTTTTTTCAGGAAAAGCAGTACTCTGTGCTGCAAATTCTATTTCAGCTGAGGAGCTGCTGTTGAATGATCTTCGTTCATTGTTAGCTTTATTACACCTGTGTCTAACAAGCTATGGATTAAATTGCATTTGAAGGGCCAGAAATGTCAATAGCAATGTGTATTATATGTGTTTAATTCATCACTGCATTTTGTTATTGTTAACATGGGTTTTTTTCCAATATCAGTGCCTGCCACTGTCAGGTTGCAGTTCATTAATTACCTATTCTTTGGGTAACATCCCCAGAGCAGGGCTGCTGCAGGGCATTGTTGTAGATTCTAGCTCACAGCACTTTGGCTTACCCTAGTTCACCCTCCAGGCTTCTCCTGAAGAAACCCTTCACTGTGAGAGCTGTCTGTCAAACATTGCTTTGCCCTGGAAGATGCATTCTTATGTGGACAGTTGGCCACTCCGGCTCAGATAATCTAAGTAGCATTCATAACAGGATAGTTCTGTTTCGGAAGCCTGGTGTAGGATAAAAGAGATCATGAGTTCAAGCCTGCTGCTTTATTAAACCACAAGTATTTTGTCCTTGGTTTACACACAATCACAGAACGTTGGGGGTTGGAAGGGACCTCTGGAGATCGAGTCCAACCCCCTGCCAGAGCAGGACCATCTTAGTCTAGGGCAGGTCACACAGGAACACATCCAGATCAGTCTTAAAAGTCTCCAAGGAAGGAGACTCCACAACCCCCCTGTGGAGCCTGTTCCAATGCTCTGGAACCCTCACAGTAAAGAAGTTCTTCCTCATGCTGAGGTGGAACTTCCTGTGCTCCAGCTTGTGTCCATTGTCCCTTGTCCTAAAAAAAATAGATCTGATGGATTTGCCTTATTTATTTAATATATACATTTATATATTTATTTTATTTCAGTGAAACAACCTGTTGGTCACACCCTCTACAGTAGAAAGACTGATGAATAGAGCAGATGCAGATATGTTGCCTTTTGTATTTTTTCAGATGCATGTAGGATTAACGTTACCCCAGACTAGAGCATAGCTGGAGTGTGTATCTAAGTGAGCACATTACCTTCGCTTTTGCTTTTTGTCTTTTGCTCTCTGTTTTATCCTGTAGTAACTGGAGTGCTTGTCAATAAATGTGTTACAAAAGCTTGTACGTGCCTCCTCCGATCATAATCAAGCCTTCTAACTCACCGTTGAGTGCTGCAGTCCAGTTGCCCCTGCTGTCACACCTCAACACATTCTAGTGCAGTTTTTCTACCTGAAATTTGCATAACTAGAAACTTCACTGTGCAGCTACTTTGGAAAACAAACCAAGCTCTTAACATGCTCTCTTACATTCTTTCTGTTTACCAAGCAACCGAAGTATTTTTTTAAAGCCTGTGCATCAAGCCAAATGCTGACTTAAAAAGTACAATATCATGATGTATTTATTGAATTGTTGTGTTTTAAAAGCCAGTTTGTTTTGTTCTTGGTAAACCATCATGCTTGAATAAATCAGTATTTTCTCAACTGACAGTACCTATATCTATCCTATGTCTCTTTTTCCCTTTTATCTTTTGCTGTCTCTAACTGGATGGGGCTGATGGGATCCACAAATCACTTCAGGAGCTCGATGAGGTATTGTTTTTCACATTTTATTCTGCCATGGTGCATTAAGCATACATCATTGAGCTAAAATGTTACTTTCTTCTGCTAATTTAATAAATTTTATTATATGGGATGAGGTGTCTCCATGTCCAGTAGAAGGACAAGGCTGCATAAGGAAGAGGAGCATTTTGTGATATAAAGTTACACTGTTAACAGATAAGTGTATAAGCTAGTTGGGTTTCTTGAATACATATGGGAGACAGTGGCTTTGTACAATGAAGCTATTAACTGGTTTTTATGCTATGCGTAAATTGTACAAACTGCATTGGTCAGGAAATGAAGTCAAGGGTAAAAAACAGGCTTCTGAGAAAGTATCGCACAGGAAGGATGAGGGATTTGGTTTTAAAAGGGGAGGAAGTGAGGAACCACAAAGCTTTCTGAGACTGGTAAAGGAAAATTAAATCCGGGAGAAACTAGGAAGTGAGATTTTTGTACAAAATCTTTCCCTGAGAATAAACAGCAAGGTAATTAGGTGTGCTTCAAGTGATATCATTGACGATACCACCTCCTTCTGTCTCCAATAAAGGAAGATTATTTTAAGTCTGATTCAACTGGCAACAAGATCTGTATTTGTCTTCCAGTTCCCTCCATTCTCCTGCCTTCCTCTCAGAGGAGGGAGATGACTGGAAGCATCTATGGCCCCAGTGCTAAATGGTGCTCTGTGGCCCTGCACACTTGTTAGGTGTGTGTCAAAATCAGCATAAAATTGCAGAATCATAGGCATGCTTATTGTAAGGAGCTTCTGGAGGGCTTCTAGTTCAAGCTCTTGCTCAAACCAGGATTTCTGATACAGGGTCATCCACAACTTTGTTCAACCAAGGCTTGAAAGCCTCCAAGAACAGAGACTCTGTATTCTCTCTGGACAACCTCCTCCAACACAGCACTGCTGTGGAAATAAGTTTCTTTGTATGTGCACTGTAGCACTGGACCTATTTATGAGTTTCTAAACACTACCAAGAAAAACCTTCTGATCTGTTTAAAGGTCATCAGTACTAATGCTGTCCTTGACAAAAGCATTCTTGCTGAGGGTGATCAGCACATTTTGCTGGTAAAATACCAAAGCAGATAAATCTGTACCTGTATATTCAAGATCAGACCGAGGCTTTTGGTTTCTGCCAAACTAAGCTTTAAAAAAACAAAACAAAACAAAACAAACACTCCACACATTGTTCTTATTCCTTTGTAGTTGCCATATTTTAAGCTTTCTCGTGGTTGAAATCATCCAACCTACATCCAAATGTATTGCTTGAAAAATAAGGTTCTGATGGTTATCACAGCACAGGCATTTTGTGACTGTAAAAATTACTTTTAATTAGTTATGTGGGTTTTTTCCTAAAATCTTTTAATATTTCAACCCTGCAAATTGGACTCTATTCCCAAAAGTAGTCTCCAAAAAGTATATTGTACCCTTCTGCAGCTACAATTGTGCTGCTGTACATCGGTGTGCATCAATCTCCAATAATAAATACCCCTGATTTGTTGCACCTAAGTTATTCAAATTATTACTCTTAATTGTGATAGAGGGTTTCTTTTACACTTACCTTATCTCCAGCCCTCCTGTGGATCTGTGGAAAGCTGCGTATGAGCTGGCTGGCATGTTGTCTTCTTCACTTTCTGACAATCTCTTGATATTTTCTGGAGAATTATTTCATTCCATTTTCCTGCAAGTTTCTTTGCCTCAGACTACACAGCTGAAAAAGCAGACATGTAACGCTGCGATATAGGGAAATGTGGATTGGTCACTGCCTTGGCTGTTTTTATTTAGCACCTTTTAATTTCCATTAAATAAATAATGTAACAATTTTACTTGCATGTCAGTCTGCAGGAGTGTGCTACAGCTGCCTACTAGATGAGTGTCTGGCTAAATACAGTGTTGTTTGAGAACAATCATGGGATACTGTTTCTATTTCCTGGAGATATAATAAACATTTTTGTTTGGAAATTTTCCTGAATGAGATGTTGAGGCTTGCCTGGCCCAATGTAAACCATGCTACACCATTTATCCCTTGGCTGCAGGTCATTGTCCAGTACAAAATGTGCTAAAGAACAATGAGAATTACCTGAGTTCTCACTGCAATACTGTATTTTCTCCTTGAAGATCTAAGAATTTATTCTGAGAGTAACTTTCATCTTTCAGATCCTATAGGAAGTGGGAGTATGCAGGTCATTAGCATATAGGGACAGACCAGGAGGTGTAGAGTTTGATCGTACCTACATTATGTGCAAACACATTTTTGAGGTTAATTTCTATGGGAAGGCATAAGGATTTGGACTTAATGTGAGTAAAATTAATTTGCTGTCTTCTCTTTTGTAGCTTGCTGATGACCGTATGGCGCTGGTGTCAGGGATCAGTTTAGATCCAGAAGCAGCAATTGGAGTCACAAAACGCTTACCTCCCAAGTGGGTTGATGGAGCAGACGAAGTAAGTTGTGTGGCAAATCCAACACGGTTTGATTTCTCATGTAGGGATTTGTTAGTGTTGTCAGGTACATTCTCAATGCTTTAAGTTTTATGATAGAAGTAATATTAGAAGAAGGATTAAAATAAGTGTTTTCTAAATTGACAACCTTGTTTGGAGGAAAATATAGGGCAAGCTGTGACTTACTAACTTGGGGGATATATTGCAAGTGAAATAAAGGGAGATTATCTAGGGCCAGAAATTTCAGAAGGTTTGATTTGTGTTGTCAGTGGGAGACCAGTATTAACAGTACCCTGGAACCATTAGGATAGACAGGTTATAGCTGAGCATTTAGACTTGAGGCTGCAGGAAAGTCCTAAAGCTCTTAGCAAAGCAAAATTGTGCTTGGTTTGAAACTTAGGAAGAAGGGTACACGAAAATTAGCAGTTCCAGTAGACTTTTTGTTTGAGCCTGTGGTTCAATTGGTCCAGTTGAATAGACCCTAAAACAGTGGAGATAAGCCATTTACTGTTTGAAAAAAGAAAAGTGTTAGTGTCTTCTAGCAGGAGAATTTTTCCTGCCTGTCTAGTATTGATGCCTTGCAAGTTATAGAAATACTTGGACAAAGGCAAGGGAATGATTCTGGAATCAGAAAATCCTTTTCCAGTATTTGGAGCGTGAAGCTGTTCTTGACTTTCAGAAAATCCTTTTAAAATGTACTGTCAGAACACATGTTGGCTCATCAGTTTGAGGATACAGAACTCATGGTGCAGAAAGGTGATCAGTCTCCTTTTTACTCTGATGATAATCATCCTTACAGATTTATTTTTAATGTCTTGTTTGAAAGCATGTCAGTTAACTTCTGCTGTTAGGTTCAGGCTGTTCAATGTTTGACAGAATTGAAGGTGTGACCTGAATTTTCATTTATATTTTTGGAAGTTGGCTAAAATATGACTGTGGTATTAATTATATAATGATAAAAATATTATTCCAACTTAATGATGCATATTTGAAAACAGCAGTCTTCCCTGGGATTAACATGAGTAGGTATTAAAAGTAGCAAACTCAAAATATATGGGAGTATTCTGTTACTTCTTAGTCAGCTTTTTATGTAATGGTCTTTTATTGATATTTGGTCTGTTTTTTTATGTTATGTAGATTTCTTTCAATAATTTTTGTCTAGCATTTGTCAGAACCTTTTCCTCTGAAACATGAGTCACTTCCTTACCTTCTTTTTTGGGTTTTCTGTTTCAGATTCAGTATGATATTGCCAGGGTTAAACAAAAAATGAAAGAATTAGCCAGTCTTCATGATAAACATCTGAACAGACCAACACTGGATGACAGCAGCGAAGAAGAACGGGCAATAGAAATCACAACCCAAGAGATCACACAGGTACAGCCTGTTTTCAGTTCTAAACCTACAGCCTGAGATCTCTGCAGTGCCTCGTGACGAGGCAGAGCTTTCCTTTGAGCAAAGCATTTGTTTTGCAGTCAGTATTAGTGTGAGCCAGATATCCTGGGCTCTGTGCTTAGTACTGCTCCTACTGTCTCAGTGAGCTTCTCAACAAGTCACTCAACCTCCCTGTTCTCTTGTCGACCCGTTTGCTTTTCTGCTTGGAGTAGGACTGGGAGATTTAATCAAATCATGTTTATGGATATCTCAGAGAAAAACAGACATATCTATTCTAAGGCTTCTGGTCCAAGCAGTTCTGATGAAGCAAATGCCTTTGATCAGAATTAGCTGTGTTACTCTGCTAGCCTGTTAGCTTTCAGTTGTTAAAGTTCTGTGTTCCCATTCCTTTTTAAACATTGCGCTGAGCAATAAAAAGAAATTTTTTTTTAATTTAGAAATCAAAATATTAGTCTTCCATTTGGAACTTTTGCAATATGAATACTTAAAGTGTGTGTTACTGTAAGTTTTTTACTAATGGAATTGTTTTCTCAGTTATTTCACAGATGTCAGAGAGCAGTCCAGGTCTTGCAGAGCAGGTCACGTAGTTGTACAGAACAAGAAGCACGTGTTCTCAGGAATGTAGTGTCTTCATTAGCACAGTCCCTTCAGGATCTATCCACCAACTTCAGGCATGCACAGTCTGACTATCTCAAACGTAAGCATAAGGGATACAATAATACATGGTCACCTTCTGTGGAAACCACTAATTAAGGTGTGCTTATTTTATTGGCTGGGAAAACTGAAGGACAGGAGGGTTAAGTGATGCACCCAGGTCAACCAGAAGTATATTAGAGTGGAGGTTAGAATCTGGGAGTTTCTGGTTCACAGCCCATGTTCAAATTGTTTTATTCTACCTCTCTTTCATATTGCTAAAAGAGAAATTCCTTGGTTAAATATCTCAACAAAGCCAATGTATTTCATCCATCCACATTTTTAATGCGTCATTGCTTCTCAAACTGTGGTCTGCAAAGCTTCTTCTGTTACACTGGTGAAGCATCCATTGCTCTTCAGACATGATACCTGCTGGTGATTCATAGTCTGTGATAGATAAAACTTTAAAAGGTGGTCTGTGGTAAATTAAAATTTTGCAGCTATAAACACATCGGAACATCCTCTGTTTAAAACTCTAAAACTGTGTGCACTTCTGTTTTCAGCTAAGTAAGATTATTTTAATCTTGGCAGAAATTCACAAAAATCTGACCTACACGTGTAATACTGAAATGGTATTCTTTTCTCCTATGGTATCAATGGCACAGTTGGAACTTAAGATCACAATTCAGACAAGGGATGTTCCTAAAAGAATTTCTTAGAAATTGGCATAGAGCAATCACACTTTAAGGCTCTTCACTTACCTCTTTTTTTTAACTTCATGGCACACAATGATGTAAAATCACTGATTTAATCAGTCTTGCAAGTCTGGTTGAATTTGTTAAGCTTTAAGTAGTAAACCTACAGTCAAAATTTAGATACTGCTATTTATGTCATTTATTAGGCAATTTTTCTTTTTTGTGCCTTTCTCTCTGGTGCTTCAGACCTTACTCTTACTCTGATTTTAGAGTACATAAATATTATGCTCAAACATAATTTGTCTTTTACAGGCATGAAGAATAGAGAAGAAAGATCCAAACACTTCTTTGACACCTCAGTCCCACTGATGGATGATGGAGAGGATGATACACTTTACGATAGAGTAAGTTAGGATACTACTGCATAAATTCAATACAGAGAAACTTTTAAATGTACCTTTAATTTCAGTATGAAAATATCAAAATTATATGCCATGAACACTAAGCTGCATGGCAATTCTATTTCTACAGATTTCTGTGATGCATTTTAATTAATATTGCTAATTAATATTGCTGTTGTGATGTGAAGATGATTGTGTGCCATCTGCCATCAACGTTACAGTGTGGGGGAATTCAGTTTTACTGATGAACTCTCCTTACATGACGTGACAGGGACTAGAAGGCCTGTAAATACAGTGCTGTCCCTTGGCATACCCTCTTTCTGGACAGATGCAAGAGTAATTGTTAGAATACTGTGATTCTGAGTTGGGGTGGAAGGTGGCACTTTTAAAAGTGAACTTTAAAGGTTTTCAGTATTACAGATTGTTGCAAATAATGGTTTGTTCCTGCACATTTAGGTACTTGTGTCATAGAATTGTACCAGCCCCACCTCTGCATTTTACTTTGTGGAGTTTGGGGATGCTGCATTTCTAAGCAATGATGGGATCTGTTCTATGGTGTCCTATCTAATAGTGTCAGAGAATACTCTTAATTGTAATGCTTCCTGTTTAACTGAAAACTTACTGAACAAGTTAGGGTAGCTTTTCAGCTAATTTTGTGTATAAGAGGTTTTTTACTTACCTCTGAATAAGAGTGATGGAGAAAGGATAGTGTCCAGTTGAGATTGGCCCTGGCAGAATAAAACAGTAAGGTCCCCATAGTTTATTAAAAAAAAAAAAAGGCAAAATTTCTGCTGTGTCTTTACACATTGGCTTTATGGGGCTTTCTGTAATGCTGATCAGCCAGTAGATTTTGTGTAACTACTGGACACTTGCATGTATTGGCATTGTGCACCAGTGAAAAGATTGTTTTAGAACAGATCTTATTTTTAAAAGTTGTTTGTGTGTTTGGGCAGGATGCAAGATTTATGTTTTCTCTGCTCAAGCTATAAATAGCTGTCCAGTATTGCCCCTGAGACTCTTGCTTTTAAAATACAGTAGGTTTTTTTTCTTAGATACTTGTCTATTAAGGAAATTCCAGAAGGACTGTCGTGTTATGAAATCTTATAATTATTTTTAGTGTTTTCATGCTGTTAGTGTTAGTTCAAGATATAAATCTTTTATTTCAACAGGGTTTTACAGATGACCAGCTAGCACTGGTGGAACAAAACACGTTAATGGTGGAGGAGCGGGAACGGGAAATCCGACAGATCGTACAGTCCATCTCTGATCTCAACGAGATATTCAGGGACCTGGGAGCAATGATAGTAGAACAGGTACACTGACATCAGAGCATGAGTAAGAAATAGGAGATTCCACATAGTGCTGAGGCTTCCAGACTCTTCCTGTTGTAACATCCTGTTTTCATGTGCTTTTTGATTTTCCTAACTTACCTCTTCAGGCCAAGGTTTCCTCTGCTTCAAATCTGCCAGAAGATGAGTTAACTAAAATAAAATAAAAAATGGTTATAGGTGTTAGACTAAAGAACAACCATAGATTGCCAAAGTCCTGTTGGCTATTTCTCCCAGAGATTCAGTTTAGGTTAAATGTGTCAGCCAAAAGCATCTGAACGGGGCGTAGTGAGACGGTGACAGAGCTGCCAGTTAGGCATTGAGCAAGGAGGTCCTTCAGTGGAGTCCCAACTAATACTTCTGCAGAAGCTCATAGTTTACATAGTTCATTAGCTGTTTGCTGTGAACATTAATTACTCTGCTACTCATCATAATAATAAGCTTTGTGAAGTTCATCTGGGTTCAATTTAGTGCTTACCTTCTCCATTTTATTTAGGGAACGGTTCTAGATAGAATTGACTACAATGTTGAGCAATCATGTATGAAAACTGAAGAGGGTCTAAAACAACTACACAAGGTGAGCTGATGGAATATTTAAACTACTTTGCATGTCTAATAATCTTTTATACTTTAATTGTCATTAAGTTATTCAGTCATTTTGTAATTGGACATTGTCCTTTTTAGAAATGATTGCTGAGCAGTATAAAATGTCCAACAGTACTATAGTACAAACTCGCCATTTAACTTCTACTAATGCAGTATTTAATGCATAGTGTTAATTTCTTAAATAACTTTCTGGGCATCCAAGCAATGTGTGAGTAATCCAGTCTTTATATTGCTGACCTGGTGGGACCTGTCTGCAATTCCTTCTCTCTTTGGAGAGCCCAGCACTTGTGAAACAGGACTGGCTAATGGGTACCTCACTCTAGATTTCAGTCAGTTGATACATCCTGGTTTGAAAACATGATCTCAGTTGTGTGAGAGGCAAGAAAAATTTTTAATGTTTTCTCTTAACATCTGACACTTCTTAGAAGTTAGGTCCAACTTTATGCTTTTAATGTGAAGCTTTTGCTATGAACATCTGAAAAGTTTGGATTGGCAGCAGAACACAATTTTGTGGTTGTTTTGTTTTGTTGGCTTTTGTCTTTTGTTTTGATTTTAAGCTAAGTTCTGACTTGTTAGCTCAATTATGTCCTTCCATTGCTGGAAATAAAGTAAAATGAGAGATTTATGCAAAAGCCTCTTAAGAAAAGTATTCTGTTTTGGAAAGGTGAACATCTTACTACTGCACACTCAGCTTCTCCATATTATCATGGACTTCTAGTATGTACACAGCAAAAAAGTGCCAGTTGAGGAAAAGCAAATTAAATTGGTTATTGATTGATTCTTGTTACACATGAACGTACATTTGAGATGACAAAATAAGGCACTGATGATTGGTGAACAAGGCTTCAAGTAATTGCAAGCAGTTTGCACAAACTGATCTGGAAGTAAACAGATCTGAATCAATGCTGTTTGTAGCCTGGTGGTAGCTAATGAATTGTTGTCAAGCCCTGCTTTGGATTACTGACTAGAGTATTGATTTTTGATGCAATATGTACCTGTTCTCAGTACAGCACAGGATTTTTTTTATCTGGTGGAAGGCATACACACAATTCTGAATAGTATCAAACACATAGATACCTTGCTGTTTCTAATACTGCTGATAGCTTTACTCTGACATAATATATAATGTCAAATTTCTGTTTTAATTGGCATAATTATTAAAAACTGATGAGACAGCACATTCACAGGAATTGCATTAATTCACTGCAGAGTGATAGGAATCACTAGTTACCAATTCCTGCTTCACATGAAAATGGGAATCAGTTACTTTGTCAGGCTTTGATACCTAAAGCCTAATTAAGTAAATAATTATAGTTGTTACATAGTTATAATTATAGTTGTAACATAGTATACAATGTATAGCATGTTACATAGTTTAAGGTCAAAAACTCCTCTTTAGCAAATCTGATAATGAATAATTACTTCCAGGGACTATAAAGGAGGGGAATGAATATATTTTTCCTTTAAGTTTTGAAGGTTTATTAATTTAAAAGGAATTAAGTGCAAGTTTTGTTTCATTTAGCTTCTATTATCAGACTTTCATTTGGCTTTTGGAGAATTTTCTCCACATTGCCTCCTTCTAATTCCCCTAGGGAAAAGAGGAAAGGGATGAGAAAATATGGTTATAAGAAAGAAAGAATGAAGCAGAAAACTGAGAACCAAATAAAAACGAAAGCTTTCAGTTCTAATTGAAATTAAATGAAAATGGACAGCTGAATCTGGTACAACAAAAAAGTGCCTATTAAAAGATGAAGTTTTCTTGTGAATTTTTGTGTCCTTCAAATATAATGCCAAAATCTTCTATCAGCAAAACAAGTTACAACATCTTACCAAGTGCTGCTGCTCAGACTTTCACATACCCAGCTGCCTGATCTTGTTTCCATGGTCTTCATGACAAAGTGTTCTTCCAAATGAAGTATCATCCTTCGGTGCATCTCCTGTGGAGGCATAGGGCCCTTTCTAGGGCAGCTGAAAAGAAGTCACAGTGAGGTTGCTGAAGCAGCCTGAGGAAGTGTTCTTCCCAGAGCCTGCCCTTTGGTACAGACGGAGGTGACTGCGCTGTACACTCACCTGCGCTGGAGGCTGTGGTGCAGACCAGGGTTATTTCATGGGAGCTGATGCAATATGCAGCGTAGGAAATGTCAGGTCAGCAAAGAACACTTCTGAGATACATGTACTTCACTTATGCTAAACAGAAGTCTGTGTAGCTGTGCAGAAATCTGTGTATTAACTCTTTGTTTTCTGTTCCTATAGGCAGAGCAATATCAAAAGAAGAATCGGAAGATGCTTGTTATTTTAATTTTGTTTGTCATAGTAATTGTCCTCATTGTTGTTCTTATTGGTGTAAAGTCACACTAGGTTTCACTTCATTTTTCTCATTTTTGGAGTTTATGTGAACTTTTTTCCCCAATGTGAACGGATGGACCTGCACTCCAGAAAGCTGCCTTTGAATGTATAAGCCCTTGTGGTGCAAAGTCTGTGCAATGTTTCTGTAGAATTCTTCAGAGTACAAGTTTGATGGTCTGTGAGGTGTCTGTAAAGATTGTAGGGAAAATGTCAGGAAATTTGATGTTCCTACACAAATAATTTGCTGCTTTTTGTGGAGGTATTTGGAAACACAGTACTTATTAATAATTACAAAATTGAAGTTTACCAGTGAGTACAGTAATTAGTGTGTTACTGTGAACAAAAATGTACTGTCTTCTGTATTCTTATGTCACTGTTGTTACAGGCTTCAAATTTAAACCATGCTACTGAATCGTGGGACTAGATAACAAAAATTGATCTACATGTAAAATATGTTGAGGCACAAAGATGTTTGATTTCATCTCCTTTCTCCCAGACTTAAAACTCCAAAGAACCAGATTGACATAAAAAAAAAAAAAAAAAAAAAAAGGAAGCTTTTAGCAACCAGAACATAATCCAACCCCTGTGATCTTAATTTAGATACTGCACCACTTACTAAGAATCAGAGTAGTACTTGATCTTGTAAATAACCAGATGTAATAACTGGCATAATTTAATACATTTAGTTAATTAAAAAATTTTCTGAGATTGAGTAATCATGGGAATGATTTTCCTCACCAGAATGGTCATACATATTTTTTCATGTACAATTTCTTTAGTTAAAATACAGACATTACATTAAAGAAGTGGTGAAGTTAAACCTAAAAAACAGAGATTCCTCTTCTGGCTTTCTACTCTTTCTGACCTACTATAGTGGATCTCAGGTGTTTCATACTTCAGTTGTGTAAGCTGTTTATCTTACAGTGCATCTGCCTGTATGTGATAGTTTTTTGTGTAAGTGACTTCACTACAGTATACATTACATCAGTTTTTCCTGACAGAAGATTATTTCAAATAAATGCCTGTCTGGAAGAGTATGTGTCTTTTACTGACCGTGAGAGTTGTCATGCAAATGACATGTTAGTAGGCCTTCAACAGAGAATTTGAGAGTTTTCTCACTTTCTTTTTTTCAGTCGAAAAACTGCTGTAGGCTACATGAGAGAAATGAGGGCAACATCAAAGTGATAGAATGCTTGTGATTTAATTCAGGCCTGAAGTGGTGTGCAATTGTAGAGGCCTTGCCTTAATATTTTTGATATGGCTTTTCTGTATGGATTTTTTTCCCCAAAGGGACTGTAATTTACTTCCCATTTGATGCTCTGCTCAAAGCCCCTGAAGTGCAGTTTTGTAATACTATGACATTAATGTTGCATATGTTGTCTGTCCTGAGTTTATCTTTACTGTATCCTAAGAATGACTTAAGATGTGGCTTTAAACTGACTTGGTGCAGGAATGGACCTGAAAGCAAAGACTACAAAGATGTGAAAGCTTTGGCTTTTTGTGTGGGTTATTGTGAAAAGCTTTGTACCACTCTTGTTACCTCTAGACAAAGGGGATGTTGAACTTCCAAAACTGCCAGTTCGAACCCTTCATTAAATTCATAAGTTAATTGGTAAAAGAACGAACGATGCTTGTAGTTGGGTGTGCAGCTCCCCTGTTCTGGTAATGGATGGTTTCAATGATGGTGAGTAAAACTACTGTCTCCCTAGTGTGCTGTCTGCATCAGTTGGTGTGAAGCAGCATATTGCTATAATTTAATATATGGTATTTGCAACTTCCTAACATGAGATCGTGTTATTTATTTCTGTCTTGACTGGTGCTTTGGACATTTTATCATGGCTAGCAAATTCAAAGAAGTAATAAAACACTTCCAAACTAACTGGGCAATTATTCTTTTTTTTTTAAAAAGTATAAACTGAAACATACTTTGGTGATGTTAATGCATCTCTATGTATTCTTCATAATTAAATGAAAGCAGCACTGACATGAAATATCTTGGAAGAGTAACTTTCTGTAGCTCCGTGTAGCTTGCCTTGTAAAGATTTATTTCCCGTGAGTTACGCCCATGGTGTCTTAACTCCACTGAAGTAACTGGCTGCATATTTTCCATCCAAATTTTGTAAAAGGCAATGCATTTTTAATATGCATGGGACAAGAAGTTTAACTCAGATGTCAACTGTCCTGTGTAACTTGAGCTGGTATTTATTGAAGCTGATTATATTGAGGAAAGAAAACCACAACAAGCTTCTAAATCGTTGCAGGTGTTTAAGCTATCAGGAGCTAAATCTAACCCTTATGCTTTGTAAGGATCTCTACACGGTGTGTTACAGAAGTGGTGCTATCTCCCACAGGACAGTGAAAGCCCAAAAAAGCCACTGCAGCTGAGGAGTAGCTTGGCTTTAGGAGTGGCTGCTGCCTACTCAGGTGTTCCAGGAGCAAGAGGTGCTTGAGCCTGCTGAGTGCACTTGTGTCCAGCCCTGTCATTGTCCCCGTGTGCTGCTGCAGAGAAGCTGGCATGCCCCGTTGCACAGCTCGTGGCCTCCTCGTGGCTGCTGGAGTTGGCTTGGCTTGTACTGAACATCTGATCGCTCGCAGAGAACAGGACAGCACTGCTAGAGCATCTCCCAGGAACCCGTGGCTCCTCACCTGGTGGGAATGACCTATAAAGCTTTTGGCTTGTACAGAATTTCTGCATTAAACTGCATCCAAGAGTGCAAAAATGAGCTGCTACTGTTGCTAACAAGTTAATTCTAGTGATATCTGAAAATGACAGTATTAAAAGCACTGTAATAGAAATTTATTTCTACTGCAAGACTTCTCTAGAAGCTGAAAAGTAAAATGGAAGAATTAGTCTCTTGCTTGGTGACTTTTGGAATGTGATGAAAATCTGAATTAATAGAATAGGTGTAGTGTATACCGGGGCTGCCTTGATTGTATTGATTTAAAGTTTGCTTTTATGAAACACTTGCCACGACTCAAAAGAGTCTTATCTTTGCTTAAATCCTTGGAAACTTTTCTTTTGGTACAGCCTTGTAGAATGTAAATTCTTAGGTAGCAGTGAAATGGATTTTATTGAGGAAAAAAAAAATATGTATTTACTATCTCAAAAAAAAACAAACACCTAAGCAAACTCCAAACTCCACAGTCTTCCTAGGTAAAATTAATTAAAACGGGGAGTGCATTATGATTTGGCATTGTAATTATGGTGGATTATGTAAGATGATGTTTTAGTGGCTTAATTCCATAAATGCTTGTAGAAGATGAATAATTGGAGTGGCCAGGGAAGACTGGTCCATGTGGCTTATATGAGTAGAAACGTTTGCAGCTACTGTTAGTGGAACACATGTAGGAAGTTTCTGTACTATAGATTGAATTGATTTTCTTACTCAGTCTGACCTTGACTAGGACCTTCTTCTGCTCTCCTTAAATTGAAGTAAAGATCAGGGGTTATATGAATATTTCCTATGGCTTTGGTGACCTTTCGGATAACACAGATTTGGGGACACTGCTGTGTTGATATTCTTGCAGTAGCAGGAATAGCAGAATTTGTACTGGGCAACTAGGAGTTTACTGCCTGGTAGGATCTTTGGAATGTCTCAATCCTGAAATAACTGCCATGTGTTGTTGTCTTTCATGTCCCATGCTGTCCGTGTGTATAGGAATAATAGTGAAGCCCTGAACAGTTTATAGCCTGTAGCTCAGTAAAGACACTCACAGAAGCTGGAGCCAGAGCTGGATGGAGTTACCCCATCCAGCCTGTGAGGATGCATGGCTGTCCTCTGCAACAGATTCTCCTGGATCTTTTATTTGGGGTAATTTTAGATATATCAGGCAATAAAATTTCCATAATGTCCCTTCACAAACCAAGTAAGACCTTACTCTAAGGAAGTTTTTCCTGGAATTCAGCCTAATTTTTTTTTCTTTAGATGTATTTCCATTATATGCATCAACATTAATTTTTCCAGTGGAAGTGTACTACCTTTCTGAGGTTTAGGCTGTCCTAGCTGCAGATTAACAATTATCAGTTCCCTACTGACCCAAGATTAATAGTAGGTGCTTGCCAAATATAAAAAGATGAGGATAAATACCCTATTCTATTTAAAACAAACTTTAATATTAAAGCTGGCATTTAGAAAACATTGTTTCTGTTTAGTGAATCCCTGTGCTGTACCACAGAGTCTATTTTGGCTTTCTCCTGTTTCTGGAGTATTTTTCAGATGGACATTTTGCCAATATTTAACTTCACAAGGAAAAGAAGAATTTTGCTTTTTCCATTTTTATCACTATGTAACTTTCAGAACTTTCAACACTTTTAGAATAAAGCATTTTCATCCTAAAATGGTATTGTGGAGGGGAAATACAGACTCAGCTTGATACAGCTCATGTCGGTTGTACACTGAGGTACCTGCACGAGTACTAATACCTTTCCCTCTCTGAAAACACACCATGATTATGAGGTGTGCAGTAGGACACGTGGATCTCATGCTTTGAACAGCAGTGTTACTGTGAATTTTTCCATTTTCTTCTGTATCTGTGAAATTGTAAAAGCCCACGTGTTTTCAGCAAGCCGAGTCGAACCAACACCAACAGCATCCTGGCTATCAAAAATAGTGTGGCCAGCAGGAGTAGGGCAGGGATTGGCCTCCTGTACTCAGCACTGCTGAGGTTTGATTTTGGGCCCCAAACTCCAAGAAGGACCTTGAGGGGCTGGAGCATGGCCAGAGGAGGGCAACGAAGCTGGTGAAGGGTCTGGAGCACAAGTCCTGTGAGGAGCAGCTGAGGGACCTGGGGTTGTAGAGCCTGGATCAAAGGAGGCTCAGGGAACGCCTTCTGCTCTTGACAACTGAAAGGAGGTTGGGGCCAAGTAGGGGTGCGTCTGTTCTCCCAAAGATGAAGTAACAGGCCAAGAGGAAATGACCCCAAGGCTTAGGTTGTATATTAGGAAAAATTTTTCCTCAAAAGGGTTGTCCAGGCCTGT